TGTGAACAGCTAGGGCTGTACTGTCCTCATTGATAATATTATGTGGGGTACTATTCTCAGAAAAAGGAAATGTCCCAGAAGTTTTGAGAAAAGTAACCACTCCTTTCTTTATACTTGTCACATTAGGTTTACATTTCCCATTTGGCACCTGGCCTTTGGGGCTTCATTAAGACCTATCAGGGTCAGTTTCTTTAAGGTAGGGAGAGAGTCACATTGCTCCCTGTTCTAACCTCACTTGGGAGTCCATGATGGCAGTATCCCAGCAGTGATCACTTTTGGATAAACCAGTACGATTGTTATGTATTAAAAATAAGCTTATCGGGGCGCCTGGGTGGCTCAGTCGTTAAGCGTCTGCCTTCAGCTCAGGTCATGGTCCCAGGGTCCTGGGATCGAGCCCCACATTGGGCTCCCTGCTCAGTGGGAAACCTGCTTCTCCCTCTCCCACTCCCCCTACTTGTGTTCCCTCTCTCACTGTGTCTCTCTCTCTCTGTCAAATAAATAAAATCTTTAAAAAAGAAAAAAAAAAAAGCTTATTCTACCGGCACTTTGTCTGCCCAGTGGAATTCAGTCTCTCTGTAATGCACTGCCCTGAGTCTGGCTATTCTCCCCTTGGTATAAGCCAGATAATGGCCAAAGCAGAATCCCAGCCTCTTGCCCATAAGAGCTGCTACCCTCAAGGAAATGGGGGCAAGGCCTTGAGGAGGGAGGGTGCTTGGAGGGTTTGCATTGAAAATAGTGTTCCCATCTTCAGGGCCAACAATTCTGGCTTTCAAAATAAGGAAAAAGTGGTAATATGGCTCAAGTCAAAATGAAAACCCTCTTCCTTTCTTTGACTGCTCTAGTTGGGGAGTTAGTTTTCTGTTGCTTCAACAAGTGGTCTGGAGGACACCCCTGTGATGGTTAGGGCCATTGACAGCACTTGATCAAAACTTGACAGCTTTTCTCCCTATCTCCTCCCTTTCCCCTCCCCACTGAGACTCTGTTTAGAGGAGCGTTTGTGAGACAAACTCTGGGCTTACAAACATTGAAACAGCTGCTCTCCCAGCCCCTTGACTGCTGTACTGCTGCAGTCACAGTGCTGGAAGTCTCTGCCGAGGAGGGTGCAATGTCTGGATCTCTGCTGTTCCCTGTTAACATAAAGGCAGTTCATTACAGGTTTTGACCCTACCTGCATTCTCCCTCCCTTACAACATGCACATTCATCTCTTCTCCTGGTATTACTGCTGCCAGAATGCAAACTTCGTCTCTCTGTCATCTGAGCAACATTCAAAAGCATTCCGCCCATTTGTGAATTATTCCCTGACTCTTGATAGGGCAGTGTTACAGGTCCTCTGCCGGCAGAAGGGAGCAGTTCGACAAGACCTGAAGACCCAAGACTTTCAGAAGCTGTGACGAGCAGACTAGGAAGCCACAAGACATTGTGATCTGAGTGGATGTCTTAATAAGCTTTTAGATGTGATTTGGCCAGAGTTGGCAGAGGAAGCTCAAGGGAAAAAGGCGAGTAAATCGTTGCAGACCCACTGGGCGTGACAACCCTAGGAAGCTAATGATCTCTCCAGGAAAGAATTGACAGCAATTATCCAGCAACAGAATACCATGTAGAATGGGGAGGACAGACCCCCGGATGTGAGTACAGTCTCTCTTCACTACAGGGTTTTGAGCAGTAGGAGCAAAGCGAGTTATTGTAACTGATGGTGCTCCCTAACCACTGGTTCTGGGTGCCTGTGGACTGTCTCTGGGTGGGCTGTGCATAATGTCCTGGCTGGGACTTTTGTTTGCCAGGTCTCTTCTAGAATATTTTGTCTGTCAGGAAACTGAATGTAGTGGTTTGGGGATATTGGTACCAGGAGACTTTGTTGTAAATCCTCAAGAAAACAGCAAGAGCAAACCTCATAGACCTTTTGCTATAAAAAGAAAACAGATTGCATCACAGACCAAGCAGCTGTGTGGCCCTCTGGCATTCATGATGAGAGAAAAAAAAGCATTGGCAAATTGGAATGCAGTGAAAATGGGGCAGTGGGCTAGAGAAAGGAGGGAAATCTTTCTTAGGAAGCTAAATACTTTCTGGATTCAGGAAGCTCATTGAATATTTATGATCATGGATTTATTTCATTTCTGCTTAAAAACTGGCAGCATGTTTGCATTTAATGTTTTTCTCTGGAGCCCTGTGAAAGTGAGCATTGTGACAAAGAGGGATGTGATTGATAGATGTGGGGCAGAAGAAATTCCTCACCGCCAGCCGTGGGAAGTGTCTTGAATGATAGCTGATCTATTTGGAAGAGGAGGCTCAGATTTAATGAGGGAATGGGGCTGCTACAGCCTGGGGATCCAACAGGTTGGCAGTGGAGTTTAACTCATTGGTTGCAGACTGGTTGCCACCTCTTTATTCGTCTTCCTCCCCCACTTCTTGTTGGGGGACCTCTATCCCCCTTATTCCTCTCCCTCAGCCCGACTCTGCCTGGCCCGATTTGTTAGTTCAGAGGTGTCAGACAAGAAGCTGAGTATCCCCTTATTCCAAAAGGTGGAGGTGTAGAAAGGAAGCCAAAAAGAAGACTCAGCCACTTTGATCTCTTCCCACCACCCTGTGTGTAAATGCAACTGTAGGTGAATGCTGGAGGTCCTACCAGCAAGCCTATTACTGGATTTAAATTGAGAATGAACTTGAGATGCCCAAGCACAAAGGGATGATGCTAGCTGCAGACTGGTAACTGGAACCTTGGATTCTGTTCCTGATTTTGCAGGCAGTTTTCTGTGCAATTCTAGTTGGGGGAAGTATCCAAAATCCTATAAGCAATATGTCCTGGAGCTGCCCTGTGCCTCTGGCAGGCTGTGCATTGGCCATGGTGGAGGGGGTCGGGTGGAGTGGGGTGGGGAGTGGGGAGTGGGGAGCATTTCATTCTTAAGTAGCTGTAACTGAAAAGCAAAAAAAAAAAATTAAAAATAATTTTTAAAAATTCTGTTTGGCTAACATTTCTCAACTGTAGTGTTTTTCTATCTTAAAAAAAAAAAGGAATAGTAATGTGTGCTGGATTTACAAAGGGCTGTTTACCAAAGGTAATTATGTAAACAAGGCTATCTCAGAAGACTGCAACCATGGCAATAGGTGTCTAAGAGCTGGATTTATTGTCTGGGACAGGAGGGGAGTGGCTGTCCATGTACTGTGGGCTTGCTGACCCACACATCTGTTGCTGGGGAGACTGGACAGCACTGCTGGTCTGCAGCTCGTGACCTCGGCTGATGGGCTGCACTGAGTTTGCAGCAAGGACATCTCTGTCTATCCCCAGGAGCTAAGCTCTGAAGTAAAATGAGTGAAATTTTAGTCACGATAACAGTATCTGTATGAACTGGGCCATTGTAGTTGAGACATTCAGATGCCCATTGCAAGAAAAGTTTGGGTACAGGAAGGTGGCCATTGAGTGCGCAAAGATAACAAATGAGTAAATGGAAGAATGTGGTTGTGGAGGGAGAGCATTTAGGAAGCCACAGCTAATATTGTATTTTCCTGCCTTTTGGGGCTGGAATGCTTTTGCAGTATTGGGGCAAACAGAACAGAAGCTCAGTATTATTGGTTTGAAGGTACCACAGATCATCTGAATAGAGAGACAATGTATCCAGTGTTTACAAAAACAAACCACTCTAAACAGTGGAACGGTCTGGGAAACATAAAGCCCAAACTAGTTTCTCACTGGGACCCTGGGAATCTCCAGTAGCATTTCCAGCTCTGTTTCTCTGCTTTGAATCTCAACATTACCCTTTCACTGGCTCATTCATTCAACCAGGGTTTCAGGTGCATCCCAGGGACCTCTGACCGTGTTAGCCACGAACAGAGGAGTCCTCTGCTTTGGAGCATCCCTTCTCCAGGTTTGTTGTGCTTTCAGTGAGCAGAGCAGGGTGGATTGGTTTGGTTGTTTTTTTTTTTTTTTTAAGATTTATTTATTTGAGGGGTGAGGGACAGAGGGAGAGAAGGGAGAGAGAACCTCAAGCAGACTGAGCCCAGTCGATCCCAGGACCCTGAGATCTTGACCTGAGCCGAAATCAAGAGTGAGTTTGGGCCACCCAGGTGCCCTGAATCCTTTACTTTTGACATAATTACCAGTGGCTTTGGTTTGCTGTAATGGTGGCCCAGGGCTACTGATAGGAGTCAGTCTTTAAAATTCTGTCCATTTGCCATTTGGTGGAAAGAAGAGGTTAAGTTTACTGCTAGCTACTACCTCCAGACCACTGCTCTGAGTGGGGCTTCACATCCTAGAGCTGGTTTTAGTAGGCCTTTTATTTCCCATTAGGCACAGAAGCAACAGAAGCAGCCCCTCCCGGTGCAGTTGGCAGCGCGCACTGTCAGTGGTTCTAGCATCCTTGTTGTTCCCAAAGGAGTTGTTCTGACAATAATTGGAACTGGGAGATGGCCCGGGCCTGTGCCCAGCTCTCCATCTGTCCCAGAACTCAGGAAACTGCGCTGTTTACAGTGAGGCAAGGATGAAGCAAAGGAACTGCAGTAAATGCTGGGACAAAATCCCAAGGATCTAACCCACTCCTCAGGGTCTCCGTGGGGTGTGATCCACAGGCACCTTCACCTGCCAGCAGAAGCAGCGTGTTAGCTGTGGTGGACCCACAGAACATGGTCTAGAGGCCCTTTGAGATCATACATGGTATAGTTACCTGCCAAAGACAGGCCTGGAACCCCCGTGATGTGGATGGGATTATAGCAGGTCTCTGCTACCTAGGATGGAAGTGCAGAGCAGACCTCACGGTTTTGGTTATAATCCTCTGGAGAATGTCCCTGAAGCGGGAGGAAGGGAGGGAGATTGGCACATTCTGCTGCCTTCTGTTTCCCAGTTCAGGGGCTTTGGTGTGCAGAGTGTGCTTCGTGCTTGTCCTGTCTTTACCCAGCTTCTGTCCCCTGCCATGAGCCCTCAGCAGATGCCCTGAGATCAGAGAGAAGACGTGTGGCCCATCCTGTGTGCTGAGTGGTGCTGATGGCAACTTTGTTTTGTAATCCCTAGGTCCTGAAGATGGCATAGTAATAACAGAGGCACCTTCTAAGGATCGGGAGCATCTTGACCCGTGGGAGCCTGCCCGGGCCAGTGGCACCGTGTTGAGCTGAAGGAACTTGTCTACTGCGTTCCTGAAAACCTCTTTCTCTCCTAATTCATGAGCCAGCAGGATGCGGTCGCTACACTTTCAGAACGCCTTCTCATAGCTGCGTACAAAGGCCAAGCAGAGAATGTGGTTCAGCTCATCAACAAGGGCGCCAAGGTAGCAGTTACCAAGGTAACAAGAAGGAAAAAAAAAAACACTTTAGCCATTCCCTGGGAAAAAGCTTACCTCTTAATAACCATTGTCTGTACAACTGTTGTGTTTGGTTTGAAGCTTTCATAGAACTGGCTTCTTCTTTTTTCCAGTGATGACAGTTGGGGAGAGGGAAGGGGGATTAAAATGCTTTCAGTGCTATCTTTCAAATGGAGTGACTTGTAATTAGCATTTGACAGTCTTTAAAATCACAGTGTGGCTTTTTCTCACCTACTTCTTTAGCTAGATGGATAAGAGATCTCTCTGGAGAAGTTGGGGTACAAAAACTTATTGGGAAGAATGTTTGTACAATAATTACATTAGACCAACCTGTGGACAGGGCAGCCCATCTGCTGTGCAGAGCCTCCCTGGTCCCCTCTGTACAGTGACAGGCTTGGACCAGACGACGGCCACCATCTCTTTGGGCTTTCATTTCATATGGGTCAGTAAAAATGTATGGTGAGCTTTGGAGAACATTGCTTACCCCCCACCAACAGATAATACCATGGGAGACGAGAGAACATACTGGCCAATGGGCAGTTTTGTAGCAAAACGGAGGAAAGTCAGGCTACAGAGTTAGGTGACAAGTTAAAATACAAAGAGGAGATAATGCTGATGGAAAATACTTATTGAGCACTTAGTATTGCTCTCAGGACTTTACAGTCCTCTAGACGAGGTTCTTTTTTTCATCCCCACTGTAGAGATGAGGAAACTGAGGCACAGAATGATATAAGTAACTTGCTCAGGGTCCTTCAGCTGTTGAGTGGCAGAATTGCTACTTGTACTTGCAGAGTCTGGCTCCAAAGCCCACCCTCCAGGCCACCCCAGATAGAGCTGTGGTAAGAAGCAAAGTTTAGTTTTCAAATGGTAATGTCTGACCACCGGTGGCAAAGATTGGCCACATTTTCAGTTACTCATATGCAGTCTCTGTATTTCATGATTCTGATGTGTGCTTTTTTGGCATCACCAAGCAAGCAGTTTAACAGTTTAAGGTCTCGTCTCAGTCCCACAAGAGTGCCTCCCTGCCCCCCCCCCGCCCCCACACAGATGCAATTGCCAAATACAGGTTATCACCTGTGCTTCTAACCAACTGGTTATAAATCAAAGGTTCCCACAACTCCCTCCTTGGGTTCGATTAATTTGCTAGAGGCAGTCACAGAACTCAGGAAGACATTTTGCTTACTAGATTACCAGTTCATTATGAAAGGATATGATATAACTGAGGATCAGCCAGATAGAAGAGAGACATTAGGGCAAGATATGAAGAAAGGGGCACAGAGCTTCCAGGCTTTCTGAGTGCGCCACCCTCCCAGCACCTCCATGTCTTTACCGACCCAGAAGTTTTCTGAATCCTCTTGGGTTTTTATGGAGGCTTCATTGGTAATTACTGATTGACATTCAACTTCCAGCCTCACCCCCCCTTCCCTGGAGGCCAGGGGTTAGGACAGAAAATTTAACTCTCTAATCAAGGTTGGTTCCCCTGGAAACCAGCCCCCATCCTTAGGGGCTTTCCAAAAGTTACCTCATTAATAAAAACTCAGGTGGTTGAAAGGGACTTACTATGAAGAGCACACTTCTTTCACTTTTTTGGATCTGGAGCTATTTCAGGAACTGAGGACAAAAGACCAACTACTGTAACAAAAGATGCTCCCATTGCTCTTATCACTTAGGAAATTCCAAGGATTTGAGGAGCCATGAGCCAGGAATGGGGACTAAAACTAAATATATATTTATTATAAAGACATTCCAGGCTCATGGATTAGAAGAAAAAATATTGTTAAAATGTCTGTACTATCCGAAGCAATGTACACATTCAATACAATCCTTATTAATATACCAACAGCATTTTTCACAGAACCAGAACAAACAATCCTAAAATTTGTATGGAACCACAAAAGCTCCCAAATAGCTAAAGCAATCTTGAAAAAGAAAAACAAAGCTGGAGGCAATCAGAATTCTGGGCTTCAAGTTATATATTACAAAGCTGCAGTAATCAAGAAAGTATGGTACTGGCACAAAAATAGACACATGGGGTGCCTCGGTGGCTTAGTCAGTTAAGCATCAGACTCTTGGTTTTAGCTCAGGTCATGATCTCAGGGTCATAAGATCGAGCCCTGCATCAGGCTCCACGTTCAGCAGGGAGTCTACTTGAGATTTGCTCTCTTCCTCGCCCTCTGCTTCTCCCCATCCCCACCCCCCCAAATAAATAAATAAGTCCTTAAGAAAATGGACATATAGATCAATGGACCAGAAAAGAAATCCAGAAATAAATCCACAATTATATGGTCAATTAATCTTCAACAAAGGAGGCAAGAATGTACAATGGGAAAAAGACTCTTCAACAAATGGTGCTGGGAAAACTGGACAGCAACATGCAAAAGAGTGAAACTGGACCACTTACACCATACACAAAAATAAATTCAAAATGGGCGCCTGGGTGGCTCAGTCGTTAAGCGTCTGCCTTCGGCTCAGGTTATGATCCCAGGGTCCTGGGATCGAGTTCCGCATCGGGCTCCCTGCTCGGCGGGAGGCCTGCTTCTCCCTCTCCCACTCCCCCTGCTGGTGTTCTTGCTCTCGCTGTGTTTCTCTCTGTCAAATAAATAAATAAAATCTTAAAAAAAAAAAATAAATTCAAAATGGATTGAAGACCTAAATGTGAGACCTGAAACCATAAAAATCCTAAAAGAGCACAGGCAGTAACTTCTTTGACATTAGGCTTAGCAACTTCTTTCTAGCTATGTCTCTTGAGGCAAGGAAAACAAAAGCAAAAATAAACTATTGGGACTACATCAAAATAAAAAAGCTTTTGCACAGCAAAGGAAACAATCAACAGAACTAAAAGACAACCAACTGAATGGGAGAAGATATTTGCAAATGACATATTCAATAAAGGTTTAGTATCCAAATATATAAAGAACTTATAAAACTCAACACCCCAAAAACAAACAATCTAATTTAAAAATGGTCAGAAAACTTGAACAGATATTTCTCTGAAGAAGACATGCAGTTGGCCAACAAACACATGAAAAGATGCTCATCATCACTTATCATCAGGGAAATGCAAATCAAAACCACAATGTGATAGCACCTCACACCTATCAGAATGGCTAAAATCAACAACACAAGAAACAATAAGTGTTGGTGAAGTTGTGGAGAAAAAGGAACCCTCTTGCACTATTGGTGGGAATGCAAACTGGTGTAGCCACTGTGGAAGACAGTATGGGGATTCCTCGAAAAGTTAAAGATAGGACTACCTTATGATCCAGGAATTGCACTATTGGGTATTTACCCAAAGAATACAAAAAACACTAATTCATAGTGTTTCATGCACCCCTAATGTTTATAGCAGCATTATTTACAGTAGCAAGATATGGAAGCAGCCCAAGTGTCCATGGATAGATGAATAGATAAAGAAGATGTACACACATATAGATAACAGAATATTATTCGGCCATATAACAGAAGATTACATATATATGTGTGTGTAGATGGATAGATAGATTACCAGGGGTGGGTGAGTGGGGGAAAGGGTAAAATAGGTGATGGGAATTAAGGAGTGCACTTGTCAGATGAGGTATGGAAATGCTCAATCACTATATCACACACCTGAAACTAATATAACACTGCATGTTAACTAATAATTAAAATAAAAACTTAAAAAAACAGTAGGTTTTACTTTAATTTTTATGTTGTACCTACACATAGATTAAAGTGTCAAATATTTTTACTATGTTTCTCTTCCATTTCTGAGTCTTCATAGCCAACTACATTCAAGTCTTTTGGGTATTTTAGTGTTTACATTCACGAATGATATGCTGATACTGCTCAATCTTGATTTTTCCATTTTAGGCATTATCTGTTGATGTAACAATATAAAAACGGATGGTCTAAGATTTAACTTTCTTTTCCCTGCTCTCACATGTGCATGTCTACCTTCTCCAATATAGTTGTGTCATTACTTAGGTGACATCAGCATTCGGTCTTTACATTAAGTTAACCAGTTTATTTATTTATTTATTTTAAAGATTTATTATTTATTTGAGAGAGAGGGAGAGAGAGAGAGCAGGGTGAGGGTCAGAGGAAGAGAGAGAGGAGGAGAGAATCTCAAGCAGACTCCCTGGTGAGCACAGAGCCTGAGGTGGGGCTGGATCCCATGGCCCTGAGATCATGACCTGAGCTGAAATCAAGAATCAGACGTTCATGGGCACCTGAGTGGCTCAGTCGGTTAAGTGTCTGCCTTCAGCTCGTGTCATGATCCCAAGGTCCTGCTCTGCGGGGAGCCTGCTTCTCCCTCTTCCTCTGCCTGCTGCTCCCCCAGCTTGTGCTCTCTCGCTCTCTCTGTCAAATAAATAAATAAAATCTTAAAAAAAAAAAATCAGATGTTCAACTGACTAAGCCACCCAGGTGCCACTTAACTAGTTTATTTATAGCTGAACCATGTAGAGTGTACTATCATGTTTCCTTTTTTTTTCTTTGTAATAATTCCTTTACTCTGATGTTAATAATTGTCCTGTATTTGTTTCCTTAGTTTTGTATGTGCATATCACAAATTATCCTAAAACTCAGTTGCTGATCTGCTCTCTGGATGTTCAGATGTGTTAGGTAGTCTTTCCACTGAGTCTCTTTGAAGAGATGTTCTCTGGAGCCCCCTCCCCTATTTCAGTCTGGACTGGTGGCCCTTCGGGCCTTCTGACAAATGTCACTCTTCATATTATCCTAGGGATTTCGCTTACCACTTTCATATATGTTGACCTCCTAGTGTCTTTTTCTTTCTTGGTTTACTCCCTTGGTTTGATGTGATAAACCCTCTAGTACAGCACTGTTAAACGGAACTTTCTGTGATGGTGAAATGTTCTATATCTGTGCTGTCTAAAAGGGTAACGACACATGGTTATTGAGTGCCTAGAATGTTGCTAGTGTGGCTGAATTTCAAATTTAATTTTAACTAAAGTTAAAATGCCACATGTGGCTGTTGGCTACTG